GTAACTCTGAGAGGGTCGCTGCAGTCCACCTTCTCAGCGCTTCTCTATCGCCATACTTCGGGAAACTTCTACATATTAATGTGCTCTCGCGTGTGATATTTTTCGTGTGATTTTTTTTTTTCTTTTTCTACTAGAACGATTTTGTTTTTCTTTTGGGAATGGCGGAAATTCCTTAGAAGCTTGTATGGGAATTTTAACGAGTGTTGTGTGTGAAAACATTTTTTCTCTCGTGGAACAAGACGTAGATATTAGTGCTGCTGTGTGTGATTTTTTGTTTTTTTTTTTGGAAAATGGCGTTTTTGGAGATTTATTTTCAGGAGCCTCAGATGTTTTGTTTCGTAAAGTTGATGTTGGTTTTTGTGCTTATTAGTTGGTGAGTATATAATTGTTCTTAATGGGTGAACTACCTGTTTCTTTTCTTGTTTAACGTACATTCTCTCTGTTTTTCTTTCTTCTTTACTGTCTGTCTGTTTAATGATTGTATCTTTTAACTTTTCTGTGTTTCTATCTCTCTCTTTCTGACTTTTATTTTTTTTCTCTCTATTCGCACTCCTTTGCTTTCTCCCCATTTCTCCTCTTCTTTCACGCTTTATTTCTCATTTCTTTATCTCTTTTGTTGTCTTCTTCCCGTTTCTCTTTCTGTGCCTCATTTATTTTCTCTCATTCTGTCTTTTTCTAGTTTGCTTTTTCCTTCCTCTTCTCTCTTCTCGTGTATTTTTTTTTTTTCTCTCTCCTTTTCTCTCCATTCCCATCTTTCTCTCCGTCTCTCACCATTTTTTTTTTCTATTTCGATTTCCTCTTCTTTTCACATCTTGTCTATCTCTTCTATTTATTGTAGCGCGCTCGCCTCTCTCCTCCTTTCCTCTCCTCCTCCATCTTCCCTCCTTCTTCTTCGCTCTCCTTCTTCCGATTCTTTATTTTCTATCTGGTTCTGTCTTCTATCTTTGTGTGTGTAATTTTTTCGTGTGTGTGCTGTGTGTTCTTGTTGTTGTGTGGTGTGTGTTGTTGTGTGTGTGTTTGATTGTTGTGTTTATGGGTTTTGTGGTTGTTGTTTGTGTTGTGTATGAGTGTTTATTTTGGTTGTGTCTTCTATTTCTGATCCTTATATTGTTTTATTTTTCTGGGTGTGTATGTTTGTGGCTTCGTGTTGTGTGTTGTATTGTGTTTGGTGTGGGGTGTTTTTTTTTCTTCTTGGTTGTGTGCGTTCTACTTTTTATTTTTTTATGTTTTGTGTTTTGTGGTGTGTTTTGTATGTTGTTTGTGTTTTGTGTGTGTTTCTTGTATTGTTATTATGTGTGTGTGTGTGTGGTTTTGTTGTGTGTGTTTCTTTTTTTTCTTTTTTCCTTCTCTTCTCTTTTCCCACATTTTCTTTTTCTTTTCTTTCTTCCCTTCTCTTTTGTTTCGCTCTCTCTTTTTTCCCTCGCTCTCCTCCCCCTCTCTTTTTTTCCCTTCCCTCACTTCCTGTCTCTCCTACTTGCGCTCTCCCTTCCCTTTCCTCTTTCTTTCTCGCTTCTCTCTCCCACTCTCCCTCTTTACCTTCCTGCTCTCTCTCTCTTTTCTCTCTTTCTTCTCTTTTTTCCTTCCTCCCCCCTTTCTCTCTTCTCTCCCTACCCCTCTCTCTCTTTTCCCTTCTCCTTCTCTCTCTCTCACTCTCCCTTTCCCCCCCCTCTCTCTTTCTCCGTCTCCCTCCTCTCTCTTCTTTTTTCCTTCCTTTCCCCCCCCTCCCCCTCTCTTCTCGCTCTCCCTCCTCCTCTCTCTTGCCCTTTCTCTCTCTCTCTCGCTCTCTCACCTTAATCTCTCTGTTTCTCTCTCCTTTCCCCTCCTCCCTTCTCCCTTCCCTTTTCTCTCCTCCCTCTTTTCCTCCCCCTTTTCTCTCTCTCTCTTCTTCGCTTCTTGGCTTCTCTTAATTCTTTTCAGTTTCTTTTCCTGGTCTGTCCACCTGTCTCTGTCTTCTCTCCTCGTACTTTCCTGTTCTCTCTTTCAACTCCTCTCTTTCATCTCTTCCTGTCTATAGTCTTGGAACATTATTATCGCTTCCGTGAGTAATTTTTATACTTTATATGGAAGTTTAAAGAAAAAGGTGATAGGATATCCCATTCTGTATGTTTTTATCATTCCTTTTAACCTCTCTTATTGACCTTTTATCTGTCTAGTCTTTTCTTCGTCGTGCTCTTTTTCTTTTTTCCCGACGTTTCAAGGTATTTGATATTTTTTTTCTTGCGTATTTATGTTATCTGTTCTTTAACTTCCGTCTGTCTTGTTCGGTGGTTTCTGAGAAGGAGAGGGAGCAGGGGAGGAGCGTTGAGAGGGAGAGGGGAGAGGGGAGAGAGAGGGAGTGAGCTATGGGGAGAGAGAGGGAGGAGAGTGGGATAGAGACGTAGGGAGGGGAGGTTTGTAGAGACGACTTGAGGTAGGGAGTAGAGGGAGAGAGAGGATGGAGAGGGGAGAGAGATGGTAGGGAGAGGAGTATTGGTTAGTGTGTTATATTTTTTTTGACAGGGGGATTTTATTATTTTTGTGTCTCGCTTGAAGAGAGGTGAGGGGAGAGTGATCGGAGTAGAGGGAGTGGTTAGTATGTTGATTGATGATGAGGGAGGGAGAGGAAGAGATGGTGTTCAGGTGAGGACCGTGAGAGAGTTTCTGAAGGAGTTTTTTTTGAGTTTTTATCGAGATTGGGGATTAGAGAGGTGATGTAGGGAGTAGGAGGTGTGATGAGAGCGAGTAAGTGTTCGTAGAGGGAGGAGAGAGGAGAGAGAGGGAGAGGAGAGAGAGGGATTGAAGAGGGATCTGATGAGAGGGAGTAGGAGAGGTGAGAGGGTTTGTGAGAGGGAGAGAGATGAGAGTGGAGTTAGGATGAGGAGAGGTAGAGGGGAGAGGAGTTGGAGAAGGAAGAGATGAGAGAGAGATTTGGAGATTTTTTTGATCGAGTAATGCGATGGGATTTTTTTTTCTTTTTGTTTTGATAGAGGATGTGGGTTAATGATTGAGCTTTGATGTATGATGATTTTTTTCTTTTGATTTTTTGAGTATTTTACCTATTGGTTTTTGAGTGAGTTTTTGTTTTTTTTGATTGATTTTGAGTTTGGATTTTTATTGATTTAGACAGAGGGATTTGTTTGTTGCGATGAGAGGTTTGATTGAGAGTAGAGTTGATGATGAAGAGAGATGGATGTTCGTTTGAATGGGATGAATTGTAGGTGGAAGTGTTGGATGTGGGTATGGTGAGGATTGTGTATGGTGAGGAGGTGAGATAATTTTGTTGGACGAGTTGTGGAGATTGAGAGAGAGAGAGTAGATTTGGGAGAGATGATGAGTGGAGATGAGAGTGAGGGATTTGGATGGAGAGAGGATGAGAGAGAGAGAGAAGGAGGATTCTTGTGTTGTAGTGATGAGGATGTAGGAAGAGATGGGATGATTGTTGATGTTAGAGTGTCGTTGTTTGAGAGAGAGAGTCTGGGAAAGACCGGAGAGATGAGAGAGAGAGATCAGAAAGATAGAAAGACTGATTGGAGAGGATGATGAGGGTGGACGTGGAGATGTCGAGAATGAGAGGAGAGAGATATTATTTTTTGATGGGAGAGGAGGATGAAGTGAGAGAGAGTTGGAGATATTTGAGGATGAGTCTTTTTTTAGATGTGCGAGAGGAGTATTTTATGATTGGATGAGATTGTAGATGATGGGATTGAGCTGGATGAGTTGACTGAGAGTGCAGTGATTGTTAGAGTGAGAGAGAGAGAAGATAAGAGAGTTTATTAGCAAAGTCGTATGAGATTTTTTTTGAGGAGTATTTGATGAAGAGAGATGCGTGAGTGGAGAGAGAATGTCAGGATAGGGTGAGAAGATTATCTATGACTTGTGATGAGATGATCTGAGTAGATCTTTATGCATGCTTTGTCTGTTGTGATCTTTTTTTTGTTTGATTGTTAAGTATGAGGGAGTCGAGAGTATTGAAGTATGAGTTTGTTAGATGGGTTTTTGGTTTTTTATGAGTTGATTTGATTTTTTTTTTGATTATGTTGTTTTTAGAGTAATAGAAGAGAGAAAGAGAATGAGAGAGGAAAGAGATAAAAAAGAGGGGGGAAAAAGAAGAAGAAAGAGAAAAGAATTGTGGTGTTTAGAGAGGGTGAGTGAGATGGTGTGGGAAAAGAGATAGAAAAATGAGAAAGAGAAAAGAGATAGAGAAGGGAGAATGAGAGAGTGATGAGATGAGAGAGAGAGAGAGAGAGCCAGAGATGGGGATTGAGAGAGGGGGGAGAGAGAGAGAGAGAGGAGAGAGAGAGGAGAGAGAGAGAGAGAGATAGATGAGAGAGAGAGAGAGAAGAGAGAGAAGAGAGAGAAGAGAGAGAGAGAGAGAGAGAGAGAGAGAGAGAGAGAGATAGAGAGAGAGCAGAGAGAGAGTTCTTTGTGTTGTGTATGTTTGTGTTGCGTGTTTATTTGTATACAAAACACACACAACACACGCACACACACACACACACTCACACACTCACACATGTGCATATGTGTATGTATATATATGACTGTGCATGTGTGTGCGTCCTCGTGTGCATACGCGTGTGTGTTCAAGCACAATAAAAAACACTGACAGGAGGGTATTTATGAACAAAAAATCCACCTCACAGTCTTTATCGTCTCAGTGAACACAATAGCTGATACTCATTCGAGCACCATTTACCTGCCAAAGGAAATGAGGGGGAATTAGTCTTCCATAAAACACCCGTTTAACCTTCTATAAAGTTTAAATCCCTTTATCAAACCGCCAATCCACTTCCGGTTTAAGAAAAAAGAAGAAAAAGAATGTCACTCTCCATATCAATTTACAAAGTTCCATTAGGAAGACCTTGCCATTCACCTCGATAACGGACGAATGAACTTGACTGAACAAAAACAATGAACAAAAAAGATACTAGACATTACATACAAGCCATATAACCACCCTTGTATTTTCTCTCCGTAATTATGGGTCTCGAGATCTAGAAATAGAATAAAAAGGAGAAGAA